TCATCGTTTTCAAGGACGTGTATGACGGTGCGTTATCGTGATGATACAGTACGAAAGCGAAAGTAGCGCCACTTAAACGAATGTAGCTTGTAAACCAATGAACGAAATGTCATGAAACTTCATACATAAACTAGTGACAGATGAATCTCTCGAAATGAATCATGTTCATTTTCTAGTGGCGCCACCTATTGAAAAATCCCGAGACTTTTTAGCCCATGTATTATATTCATTAAATTCATTATTATATCCATCGGAATAGCGAAAACTGTCAAAATCGACCACATAATAACGTTGATCTACCTTTTATGAAGGAAAGCCGATCTCAAGCCACTCTGAACAGATTACGATGTCTACTAATGAAGATGATCATTATCATCTAATTGTAAGACGTATTTGCAGTAGCTTTTTGGTCCGAGCAAACACCTAGTAATGATGCACTCTCGTGCGTTCACAAGCGATGATAATTGATCTTCCAGAGCGCTTATGAAAGCAACGTAATATATCACAAGAGATCCGATCACGTCAACAAAGTAAGCTCGAAAAAATAGACGTATGGTGTACGAGACTTTTGCAAACTCGAATGACGAAGCTTTCAAGCTATTTGTATTCTTTTTAATAGAGATTCAACATTTCGATTTCGACGAAAACAAAAATACTCTGTACTTTGACCAGTTGAATAAAATTAAGTGTAATATCTGCAACAATTGCAACAATTAACCTTCAAACAGAAACTATCAGAAACTGTCAGTTTGATTTCTAGAAGAAAGAAAATATAATGGGGTAATTCTTAGAAAATTACCCGAACTTTGTTACGAGCACACGCAAACCTGAAATTTAGATGTAATAAATATGCGATTAGAGAAGCGCAAAAGATTATCGAAACCAGTTTTGTGGTTGAGCGGCGTTCTTAAGAAAATTACGATCAGTTGATCGTGTGTGGTCATGCTATCTCGTACTTATGCAATCAATTCTTTATTCTTAACATTCTCAATACGTTTATTCAGCATTGCCATTCAATGATCGAATGAACCGCGATGTTTCAATGCAAGTATTGTACAAAGACGTCGTTGATGATTTCCTGTTTCAAGTTGATTTTACATATATAAAATATATATAACATATATATA